CTGTGCTTTTTATCAATCTTTAAAATGTTAATAAAATACCAATTGTCGTAAATATTGTAGAAGTATTTGATGGAGAAAAAACGATGTAAATACAAGGTATAATAATAATATTTATAAATTAAATCACCGATCGACGTATAAACGTAAATCTCCGTAGAGTTAGAAAAGTAGAGGCCACGTGATTCTAGAAATAATACCGTTACCGCAAATGCTGGAATTTCTCCACGTCGAAGTTGCCACTTCTTGACCAGAGAAAAATTCAGACGAAGAATGCAAGAATGAGAAATTATGGAGGCAAAGGAGAAAGAATAAACAGCTTGGAAAAATTATCAGCATGGAAAGGAAGAGAAATAGGTGGGAACACGTAAGAATACAAGGCGAAGACAACGTTCCAGAATGCGAGACATAGGTGGAGAAACAAACAGTGAAGAAAGGGAGAAAAGGAATGTACTGGATGGAAAAAGTGGGCAAACGAGAAAGAACACGGTGGAATAAGAGAAGCGGTCGTAGAGAAAAAGGAAAATTGTCTGCGACTTGTGACACCATTCCGGGATACCATTAGTACGCAGAAACGTACGAGCAATAGTGCATTCATTTGAATGTGTGCAAATGCACGCCCGAGTGCATAAAAGAGACCGGAACGTGCAAAACTATTATTTGCACGTGCATCTCTGGAATCCTGTAAAAAATTTAATTCCTTCAAGGGAAAGGATGTAGCTAGTACGGAGTTATGTCACTTGAGAGTCTCTTCGTATAAGTTTCTTGAAACATTTCATTTAAATAGAGAGATCCTTCAGCCGAGTGACAAGATTTTGAAGAATTTTCTTTCAACATGAATATGTTGTGACGCAGTTGCTCGTTTATTTGAATTCTCAGTATAGAAAACGTTTATGTACGTACATACTGTGTGTGTTTTGAAATTTCATTAACAGAATGAGACACGAGCATCCTGACTGTATTGTATAAAATTTGAAAGCAACTTGAAAATGTATACAGTGCATAATATTCGCAGTCTAATGACTATTATCTATAACTATCTGTATAAAATAGGGAACAATTAAAATTCAAGCCAAGCAGAATATTGACTTTAAGAGCTTAAATCATCGAAACTGGTTAAACCTTCCTTCTTCTATAAAATCACCAAAGTTCAAATTATTTAACGCATCAACTCAAAGTTGCCTAAACTTTAGAAAAGTGTTCAGTTGCCTATCTACGTTTTAGCGGATATACAAGCAAAGAGAAAGAAAGAACAATGAACTTTCAGTAATATAACACAATCACAGATCTGTCGTTACTCCGCAATCTCCAACGTTTCCACTTACCGCTGCCTCGAAGGAAATGTCTTTTATGCAATCCGCTATCTGTCGACCATCCCCCTAGTAACCTTATCTTCTCGGATATCGCGCGACTGGTTGGCGAACGTCTCTTGGAACGGCTCATAGCTCGAATTCCAGCGACGACAATTCGCGTTCGTTGGAGCGGGACAAAGTTTCCCCTTGAAAAAATTCGAAGGAAACACGATAAGGATCGCGGGCTGCTGATTCGAGAGAACGATCGCTGCCACGTCGGCAGATACGCGTAAACGAGACTGTCCTTGTTCTTTAACGATTCTCATCGACGACGTAGGTGATCGTGATCCGGTTCGACGTCCTGACAGTTTCGAAACGGTGCGACAGCGAGAGAAAAATGAAAGGTCTGTTACTTTTCGATTGGAATGAATCGCTGTCGTGTTCTCGATTTCCAGAGTCAAGTTTCTTGAAAAGTTTCGAGAAGCAGTCCTGAAGTTTGGAATGTAAGTACAGTGAGCAACGGGGTCAATGGAAATTGTGGTTCATCGTTAACCTTTTCACGCTCGATGTTGCGCAATATTATACTTTAAAGCGATATTAAGTGACTAAACGATAAACGTATTTGTTCTCGATGAAACTATTTTTCCGTGTTAAATTCGCACTACTCATAAATTTTATCATTTTACAATATGTTTTTCTTAGAAAAAAATGGGGAGAATTATGTTTCTATTCTCAGTACAGATGAAGTATCTGTTTCCAAAGAACAGAGGACATTCGGTTCTGCAGGGGTTAAGGAGATTATTTTCAAGAAAAAGCTTTTCATCGAATTTTGAATGTATTTGGATAATTTTGTCTGTTCTAATAGAATGTATGATTCCGTCAATAATTTTCTTATACCAAGTGACAAAATTTAATTCTTTTGGCCTCTACCTTGGTACAGATTGTGTTTATAACGACATAATTTGAAGAAAAAAATATAACGGACGTAAACTGTCAGCTTAGAGCTGGTTTAAGATCGCGGACTCTATTCCCGTGAGATTTGCCTCATTTTCCTCAGCTTTTACATCACCGCACAGAAAAAGACAAAAAAGCTGAAAGAAAGAAGGAAAATTGAAAATGTCGCGTACCTCTAACTCTAATCTCGTTACCTACTTCCGATTGTCGCGGGTGTCAAGAAGTTGCTCATCCTCCTCTAGTTTATCAGCTCTTCGACTAATCTAATGGAATTCGCAAATCTGCCGCTAAGAAAATACTCTTCCTTCTCGCGGCTGGAAGGAAGAAAAACGACGTCACAAAAGAGGATTTCATCGGTTCCTTGTAATTTTCTCAAATTTCCCGCCAGTGAGGCTATCCGCTCACGTCGAGACAATTTCCACGGGATATGCGTGTCAGCTGTTACAAAGGAAAGCAAATATTTACACGTCGCCGACTCGGGATGTCCAATTATCGCGTCCCGAGGCGTTTTATCTCGTGCGCTAACTTTCCGACGATATGCAAAGCGGCTCTATTAATTTTCCACTACGTCGGGAACGCGAGGCAACGGAAACACGGGGAACGCGTCTGTACTGTATCCTTGAAATTTGCAACGAGGCCTCGGCCTCGCGAATGAAAATTCAAATCTACTGCATTATGGAACGCGTTTTCATTAATTTTTAATGGCGCGAGTTACATGCGGCACGCCGACAGCTGCCAAAACACCGAACGAATTCGCTTGAAATTCGGGCCTCACTGTTAGCATAAATAACCTGAGTTATATTAACTTTTATCCGGATAGCAGGTTGTAAGAACTACGCCTTGGAAAACCGAACGTATTCGGTACGGTTATGTTGAAATAATACGCTGCGAACTATCGGAAAGCGGTTTCCTTTGTCCGTTTTTTGATCATCCGCTGGAAAGTTATTCAGGTTAAAATAGCGTACTCGAGAAAACACTGGCAAGTTGTTTAGTCTTTTCAATTTTCGTTCAATTAAAATTGCAACAACCAGAGTCGATATACGAACTCCCCATTTGTCTCTTTACTCTTTGATGTTATGAGTCATAAGATGATTGAGAACCGGACTCCATTATATCATTTCAGTATTATACAGGTTTACCTTGCTCTTCAACTTCGTTTCATCAATAATTAACAAGAAGAAAAAGGAATAACCATATATTATTCCCTCCGTAATAGCTGTACTACAGTTTTCAGTGAAAAGCATTCCACGCGACGGTGCGCGCATACCTTAACGCTGTGCAAATTATCTGGCCTCTAATAATAATTAAAAGCCCAGCATAGTTGGCACATTTGAACACTGCAAGGTTTCTGAATTTCGCGAGAAGAACCAAACGTAGTTCGAACTGTCGAAAAAATGCGGTGCTCTCGACTAGGTAAGAAAAAAAAAAAAAAAAAAAAATAGGTGGGAAACTCGAAACCTCGGTTGAGATGGGATCGCGAATACCCAGCTAAATGTCGTCCCCGGCATTTCGCTAATTACCAACGCAACACACGAGCTACTACTAATTACGTGGTCCCGCTTAATGGGAAACTCTTAACGAGGGACAAAAGATTCGGCCCGTGAACAGGTTATACGCCACCCTGGCAGACTGTGAAACCATGCAAATTCCACCATTTATCGCTTTTAACTTTTCCCTGATTATTTTCTGCTTAAATACTATCGTAATCTCTGCGAAATATGTACTTTTACCGAATATCTTGTAATTCTTGTAATACCTTAAATTTCTATATGTATTAGATATTTATAATTTTTATTTTTCAGAATTATTTCAAATTTTACCAATATGTAGGTATAATTCTGGTAGTCGAGCACTGCTAATAAAATTTCACAATTTTTCGTATAACATACATCGTAAAAGGCAATGTAGCGTATACAGAAAAGACGTGTAAGTAGCATAGGACGTTATAAATCAGGCAAAGCATTTTAAGACGCGCGTTCTATTTCAGTCTTCTTATACGTAACAGCGTAATTTTTTAAACCAACTCTCTTGTTAACCTGAACTTTTTTAAAGCTTATATTATTTGTATGTTATGTTAAATTAATCGTTATGTAATCGATAGAAGAAACGTAGCGACGCTACGAAAATACTATAAAATATTCTTGGAGTTCGGTCGAGTAAATTCTTCGAAGTACAAAAAGCTCTTGAACTCGGAAGCTTCGGCCCTTACTTTGTTTCAGCTTCAACTGAAATACGTAAAGTATTTAATTCACAATCATACTCTATTTCTTCCGCTAGTTATAATTTCTATACTTTATATACTTTAATAAAAATTATCTCATCGGTTACCTGTCGAAATCGATTCGATACTTCTGGAAGAAAAACTTGTGCTGAGATCTCCTTAATTTGACACGTGCAAATTCACGTGTTCAATTAACGAGAGTTTGCGTGTAATTTGTAGCAATCAAAATTAAATTGCCACTCTGTATATATTATTTACAGCTTGGCAAATCAATTACATTTTTAATATACTTATTATTGAAAATCTAATCAACCTAAAAACCACCATAAACAATAACTTGCATTGAGAGTAAATTCAATTGATCACATAAATGGTGTAATGGTACATTCGAAATTTTGATTAAAATGAAATATATAAGATGCAACTTGTATGATAAATTCGCGAATAATTGTCAATTATTGTGGAAGTCGATTAAAATATAGAATAACAGCTACAAATTATTCGATCGATTGAAGACACGTTTTTCTACTTTACAGATGACGTTGCAGGTTTCCTGGGTCCGGCACAGAGACGTTCATCTGCTCACTATCGGTCGTTACACGTACACGAACGACCAGCGATTCAGGCCGATTCACAATGCACAGACAGACGATTGGACGCTCGAAATCAAGTATCCGCAACTGCGGGATAGCGGTTATTACGAATGCCAGGTCTCAACGACGCCGCACATGAGTCACATCGTATACTTGGACGTGATCGGTAAGCTATTTCAGACATCTTTACGTTGCACGCGTTACAAATGTTGTGTGAATGTAGTTTGTCAAGATTAGAATGATCATGTTGAACTACAGTGCACGTTTAATGGGAAATCGTAGAAAGTAAATTTATTTCAGAATATTTCACTTTTATCAATATGGAATTATAGAACATACATATATAGTAGTGTTTGTTTTTATGCATTCATTTTTGTAGAAAGCAAAAGTATTATATATTCTGATATAAATGGATGTGGTGAGATAATTACTGTGAATAGATATAAATAGCAGTAATTGATACTAGACAATAACTAAATTGCGTTAAATTGTTATATAGTTGATCATGAAAGATGAAGATATACTCGGTTAAAAAATTTATATGGCTAAATCCTTATAGCCCAATTCGAACAACACTTAATGTTTAATAGTTAGAAATTTTATGAATAACTACTTGCCAAGTAAATTTGTATTCTATAGGTTTAGATATCCTTCGCTTCAGAGAATCGCAAGAACAGCGTGGAGAAGAGTTAAAATTTGAAACTTAAATTCAACTAGAAACTGCAATAACATTTATGAATCATGACTAAGATATCGAAGAGGCAGTCTCCTAGGGATATTTCGTTTTCCTAATATATTCAGCCCTTTAATAAGATGAATTTTACATTTTCCCGCATTCCTGGCACAAGGATCTAGATTTTTGCATAACTGGGTCGC